CGACGGTGCAATCGGGGCCCGATCGGGGCCCGACGGTGCAATCGGCCCCGATCGTCCCGTGGTGCAACCCCAGCCACCCATATTATAGCTCAACGCCGGTTTTCCTTAGTATGCGGATTGCAACTGTATCTATAGCAAAACTAGGCGATGCCAGCTTGGTACAATTGACGGGGCCCAACTGAGTCGGGCCCCGATCGGGGCGCGATGGCGCAATCGGGGCCGATCGGGCCCAAAGGCCCCGACAGTGCAATCGGGCCCCGACCTAGGCCCGGTGAACCTCGCAAACCGTTCTCACGCAACTTTCGTGGAGCAGCGTGAAACTTTGCTGGACCTTTCCTCAGGGCTGCCCCATAGCTTTTGCAGAATTTGGTGTTTGACCTCATAGCCCTCGCAGCCTCGTGGAATTCTTGGAACCCCAAGCCCACCAAGCAGCAATGCCAAGCATTTACTCTGCTGCACCGTGAGTTCCGCAGCAACGTGATCTGATTTGCCACAAAGCCAACATTTGCCTGAGCGAGTGAGCAAGTCACGAAACAGTGAAAGTGCGCTAAAAACCATTGATTTCGGTTTTGCTTAGTGTTCCGCCCATGAGCAAAGCGATCTTGATCCGATGGCTTTTCAGACGACGGGCGCGCGACACACTTTTGGTGGAGCATTGTGGAGCCTTGTGGAACCCGTGTGGAATCCTTGCAGAGCTTTGTGGAACCCTGTGAAACCTCAGGGCCCACAGCCCTCGCAGAATCTTGTGGAACCCTGACACCCTCATACAACCTTGCCTCAAACCACCCCGCAGCCCTTGCAGAACCTCGTGGGACCCTGCTAGAACTGTGCTGGAATGGAACCTTACCTTGCAAAACCTGGTGGAATTCTGGTGGAATTCTCATGGAACATTACCTCAAACCAGCCCGGACCGCTGGTGGAACCCTGGTGAAACCCTGGTGGAACCTTCCCCGAACCACGCCGCACCCTCGAAGAACTTGGTGGAACCCTGGTGGGACCCTCGTCCGGAGCACGACGGGCTGGTGGAACCGGTGGAAACTGGTGGAACCCTCGTGGAACCTACCTCAAACCACCTCGGACCACCCTGCAGCCCTCGCAGAACCTGGTGAAACCCTGGCAGAATTCTGGTGGAAATCTGGTGGAACCCTGAGGGAACCTTCCTCAAACCAGACCACCCCAGCCCTCGAAGAAATTGCTGGAACCCTGGTGGAACCCTCGTGGAACCTTACCTCAAACCACCCCGGACCACCCTGCAGCCCTGCCACCCAGACCACCCCGCAGCCTGGAACCCTGGTGGAACCCTGGCGGAACCCTCGTGAAACCTTCCTCAAACCCGCAGCCCTCAAAGAAATTGGTGGAACCCTGGTGGAACCCTCGTGGAACCTTACCTCAAACCACCTCAGACCACCCCGCCTGGTGGAACCCTGGTGGAACCCTGGTGGAACCCTGGTGGAACCCTGGTGGAACCCTGGTGGAACCCTGGTGGAACCCTGGTGGAACCCTGGTGGAACCCTGGTGGAACCCTGGTGGAACCCTGGTGGAACCTTAGCTCAGGGTCGCCCCGAACCACCCCGGAGCCTATCTGGGCTGAGACCCCAAAGCTTTCAGCTGTTGGGGAAAAAGGGGAGAATCACCCTCGAGGTTGCTCGAAACCAAAATCCAAAGGGAGAACCACCCCCGAAGGGGGCTGCGCCAACTTCCATCGCCGAGAGAAGTCGCCGGGTCCCCGCGCGTAGAACTCGGTGACTGAGGGCCGTTTCTCGAAGATGAGGCCTGGGGGTTGCCGAGGTCACGAAAATGAGCAGGATATGTGGCTCAAAAACTTCAATGGTCTGTATCCCTTGAACCCCCCATATGTTTCACTCACTGCTTGAGGCAGGGTCAAGGTTGGGACACGTAGGAATGAAAGGGCACAGGTGAACAGGAACCTGACCCTCTGATGGACTTTTTGTAAGAACATCCCAACCTGTCTGAGAGTCAAGGGAACCAAACCCTGTAATGCTACCTTTGTATAGGAGTCCAAGAGCTTCCCTATCATGTTTCCTGGGGTGAGATGTTTGACTGGCTATAGGACTTCCCCCCGGCCCGCAAGCTAACCCCCCGCTCCCCCTGCTTCTCCCAAAAAGTAGGGGAACTGGCACAGGTGTGTGCTCGTGGCTCGTGTGTGTGTGTGTGTGTGATCTTCCCAACAAGCCAATCCAAACCAAACCACGCCAGCCAGATAGGCCCAAACAAGTCCAAATTGCTGGTTCCCACCAAAACGGTCTTTCCACCAAAGTACAGCCTATGAGATTGTCAGTGCCCTCTATACAGGGCACCTGGCAACATGGGATTGTCTCCCAACAAATTGAAGGATGTTCTTCTGTGCACGTTGCAACCACCCAAAAAAAGGGAGGGAAAAAACAAATACACACATGGCCTTTCTTTGGCCTACGGTTTCGAAGGTATGCAAACATCACCAAAGAGAAATGGAGAAACTCGGCTAAAACTCGTACACAACACGACGCTTGATCTGGTTTCAAAGGGAAATGTACGCCTTTTTTGTGGTGGTTGGAGGAAAAGTTCGGGGCTTGGCCGTTCTCGTCCTCCCCGAACCTGCAGGCATTCAATATTGTGCGTTGCTCGCATGTTCCAAAATACCAGCAAATGGTGGTGGGTCCCAAACAAGTGAATTTGAGAGCCTTCCGTCGGAAGACAATTCAACCAATGCAAGGAACATGCAATCTGAGCAGCTCGGCGATGCACAGCCACTCAATCTGATTCAACCATGAAAGCAACCGAGAGGGTTCCCATGTCCAGGGTTCAAAATGGGTGCGGCTTCAAATGGGCCCTGAAATTGCAACACATTTGAGCGATGCGGTCCCAAAACCCATGACTTTCATGGATAGAAAGGCATACTGCCCCGCAAATCTGCATAGAAGCCCAATTACAAATGATTGTGTTTTGGATTCCATGTTGATCTGCAGCGGAGTAAGCCTTCCTATAAATAAACACCGGTGACACCAGGTTGTAGAGAGCCTACGGCAATGGCCGATGCCGCGTTTTGGCTGCACTGCTCGTGTCGCCTAAAGCCCAAAATGCCAACGCATCCTCAAGTCGAATGACCAACCCCCCAGTCCGCGTTGCCTTGTTGCGATCTCAACTCCTGGCGAGAGGGTTGCCCAACTGGAGAAATCCAACGTGACATGTGCCACCTTTGTCGGGCCAGGTTGGCATGCCGGGAGAATGTCTAGGTTGCTCGGAAATCGACATCCAAGAAACGAATCCAAAAAAATCACCTGAATCCGCTCTGAAGGGCGCTCTGAAGGGGTCGCGCCGGTCCTAGGTCCTTCTGTTTGGCGACCCCTCGGGCAAAAAGCCAGTGTCAAGCACATGGTCTGCCCCAAACAATGCACAGGCGACTATACCACACTACAAGCAAACCACCCAAAATGGAAATACGGAAAGCCCCGAAGTTTGCCTGCAGCTTCTTCATTTGAGGAGAAACGCGCACCTGGGCTAAAATAAATACTTGGACATTTGTGCACAGCAAAGTCAAAGCCTATCTCTTGGCACCACATAGAAATACTACCATATCATGCCACAACGGCGCGCTCACTCCCCAAAGCTGACATGAAACCTGAAACATTCACTGCTTGTGCAAGGAAACCTCCTTCCCGATGACAACTTTTCGGGCTGGGCACACTAACCCCGTGTCTATGGCAGCCCATGGTCGCTAGGAAACTCGTGGTTAACGTGACAACACCTGCTTGCCCGAGGCATTCCCCAAATTCCTGTAACACCCAAACAACATGATGTTCAGAGAAAATCTGCTGTTCAATACGGCCCCGTTGCTGGTGCTTGGGTCACCTCCAAGCAAATGGGGTCGGGCGCAAACTCGAACTCTCCTTGAGTGGCTTAACGCCACCTTCTTTTGAGGTCACAGCCAAAGGGTATTGAAGGACCCAAAATCTATGGCAAAAGAACCAAGAGGGCGGATACAGTAGCCGGAGGTAGTCCTACCAAGGAGACTAAATTATCGCCAGGCTTTTCCCCGCTCTCTTTGTCCCCGCTTCAGTCGCAAATCGATCACATCCCTTCGGCTGGGATCCTTGGCGTTGATGTGTGAAAGCAAGCTTGCCGCATATCCGTTGTACGTCTTCATGGGCGGCAGGTTGAGCTTCCTGGCAAACGCCTTCATCGCCCTCAGTACCTCCTCTCGCGACGTTTGGGTCTGCAACAGCCCCTTCTTCCGAAGGCGCGCCTGCACATCTTGGTCAGAGGGCGATGGCTGCCAGTGGCCACGTGTCTCGTCAGACAGCAAGGCAGCTCGCAGCTTGTCACGAATGTCTGCAATGGCATCTCCTTCCTCCGGCAACAGCCCCAGTTTTCGAAGGTTCTTCTTGTTCCGACTTGATCTGCAAAAGGTCAGCATCGCCTCAGCCTCATCTGCGTTCCAGCGCCGGTCAAAATAGCCAAGCCTGGAAAGCACGCGCAGCACCACTTTGCGAGAGTCCGGAAGCATGAATGGTCCGCCGCCCTTCACTATCCGATATGCCATTACGTGGCCGAAGACACTCTTCCTTTTATTGCTGAAGGAACCATGCCTCCAGGGAAGGACAAACACCAAGTTGTTTGTGCTCCGGCGCCAGCCAACGTCTCTGCACTCTTGAATGCGCTTGGCAACAGCTTCATACGCAAAGCTATATGGATACACCACCAGCGGCCCGCAGGAATTCGCGTACCAAAACTTGGTCAAGCCTGAGAAAGCCCCAGCCTGGTGGGCGGAAAACCCGGTGTCCATCAGAACGTGGCGCACTGCATCCATCTCCGACTCGGGCAGAAGTGGCGGGAGGACGGCCGTGCGCCTTTGGACTTCCCCCTGGCCGCTGGGATGAAGAATCGCCAGGACCCGCGTCTCCTCGTAGCCGCCCGAAAGTGGCAAGACTTGTGTGGCCACCGCCTCGAACCTCCTTGGCTGCTTCCAAAGCACGCGGAAAAGGAACCCGTATTTTAAAAAACAAAAAAAGTTCAGTCCCAGACGCTTCACTGTGCCTGCATAGCACTTTGGCACGAGAACCAGAACATGGTGACCAGCGGCGCTCATGTCCCTCACGACATCGATGAAATCCTCATCGTGGGTTAGGCTGTTCTCCAAAAAGTTCAACTCACCTAATCAACATAGACCACACCCGTTTTCCGTGCTCTTTGACAGCCCCTTTGTGGGAGCGGAATCAAAAAGCCCCTACCTGCCTCATCTTGCACCAGAAAGCCAAGGCAAAGGTGGGTGGTCTTCCTGGACAGCCTGCGAGCCGCAGCAATAATGGCTTCATCATTGAGGTCCTGGTAGCCACCTGCTTGCAGGATTTCCCGTTTGAACCTAATTTCGGTTTAAGCAGCTGGTGTATCCTTATTCACATCCTGTTGAAGTTGGGTCTGTCTCAAAACGGGAACTGGCCGAGGACATCCTTCACGCCAAAGATTCCTGAACAGTCCAAATGGTCAACAGGTAACCCCCGCCTTCGCGGGGAACCCCGCGAAACGTGAACCCGTGCTCCTGCAGGCACTGGCTCCACATGGAGTTCCTCAATCGCTGCGGCTCCGCGAAGACTTCTGCATGCACCGTCCAACCAGCGCCGCGGAGCATGCTGACAGCCTCCTCGATCATCGGAAGACCAACAGCGTCGCCGTCCACGAACAGTCTACATCTCTCTTCCTCTTCCCCTCTTCTTCCTCTGGTTCCTCTTTCTCCACTTTTCATGTTTTTCCCTTTGTTCTCTCTTTCCTTCCTGCTCCTGCTTCCTCTCTGTTGGCCTGTGCCAGCTTTGCAGCGCCTGCGAACTCGGTAGGACTGCGGTCTTAGGCAGACAGGCACCGCCAAACTCCACAAACTCCGGGTGCAAACGTGACTGCTGTGGGTGCTAAAGCCGGCAGCAACCAGATGCAAAGGCCCGGCTGGGCTGCCAGTCCGGACTGTCGCAACCGGCAACATGATCCGGCATTCAACAAGGTGCAAATTGAGTCGCCTTACCCCTCATTGCCGGTTGGAGTGGTGGTTTAAGGGTCATGCTACGGCTTCCCATTTGGCTTTATATAAGAGGAACGCCTAAACCACAGGCCCAAAATCGGCAACTAAGAACTGCCTGAGGGCCAGCGTGTCGCGGTGTGTCGGAATCATGATCGAATCCCCGAATCCCAAGACCCGATCTGTGTGCTCCGCTCAACTGCATGCGTTGCACAAATCGGGGTTGGCAGATCCAAAGCCAAGACGCCAGTGACACGGATCCTTCTGAAGAAAGTTGCCCACGCTGGCTACGAAAATGGAGGCGGCCATGGTCCCTTCCAAACCCCCGGACCGGAGCGAACACAGACACAGACCCGGGGTCACCCGCGTACACACAAGCAAACGCAAGCGAACGCAAGCACAAGCTCACCTCGGGAACGCGCTAAATGATATCCTCGATCTTAAGAGCGGAATAACTCCGGCATCAGGCTTGCAAACACCAAACCCTCATTCATCACTGCATGACAGGGTACCATGTTTTGCTCCCCCAAGGTCGCCTTTCCTAGAAAATTAATCAGCCATTGGTTTGAGTCTACGGGGACCCAATCAATGGAAGCCTGCAGCAAGAGCTTCTGCACGTCAACGACAGTTGCTTGACTAAAACAAAGGTGCCGCTCAGGGCATCGATGTTTTCTCCCAACCACTTGACAAAGCAGCCGCTCTCCAGTTAGTTTTTGATCACAAGACCATCTGCCAAATGGAACAGCACTACCTGTATTTCCCCTTTGACATCACCCCACGAAAACGAAACCCACTTTTGACAACCGAAAGTTGATGCCCAAAACCACCCCTCGAGAAATATCAGGGAACCCCATTCTTAACGCTCGGTTGCCCCTTCTCCACTTCAAACCAGAGGAGCTCAAACCAAGACACGCCCAACGGGGAAGCTGTGCGCTCGCTCCCTCTGCCTGGGACGTGGTGATCGCCGCGCAACCCGTGCACGCCGCGGCATAAGCTTGGCCCACGCCTTGGGGCCGAAAAGACGTTGTCGAGACGACTGGCGGGGTGGGGGACGTCCACTTTTGGAGAGGGTAACTGTTGGGAAATTTTGGGACCCTGCCCACTTTCTTGGAAATGTCTCTTTGAGTTCTTCGCCTGAGCTGTCTTTGCTAAGCGTGCCCCTTTTTCGTAGGGGTCAAGGGGGAAAAAAGTGTGGGGGGGTCCCCAACTTCTAGACGCGTTTTAAACGCCTTTCTGTCCGGGCATGTCCTTCAAGTTCAATCTACCAGCTTCGAGTTGGGGCTCATGGCCGCCAGCCCGTGCCCATGAAAAAGGGACCCCTGCTGTTTTAGCAGTTTGGTCTGTACAAGCAAGCCAAAGAAATGGGACAATGGAGAAATTTTGACACAGACCCCCGCAAGCCTCCCTTTCACAACATGGCCTTTTCTGGGTCCGAAGCTCAGCTATTGTCCCCCAACCAACACAAAATATGTTTGACTCTGGTCTGTCTTGACAAACCCGAAAAATGAACAAATCCATTGAGAAAACAGATCCCAAATTGAGAATGGTTGAACCTGACAATGATTGAGAAAACAGATTGACAAACCCGAAAATGAACAATGATTGAGGAAACGGATCCCCGTCTTAAAATAATAATAATTCTAATAATAATTAATTATATCTTTTTGTTTAAAAAAAAGGCTCCCCGTCTGAAAGGGATCTAGTTACCCACAGCTCGCCCCCAGCTCGCGCCCCATGGCTCGGATTTGTCTGGGGCTCCCCCGCCGGTGAAGAGCTCCGGGGCCAGGCGGGGGCCCAGCAGCGACACCAGGGGAGTGGCCTCGCCCGGTCTTCACGGTCGCCTGATGGATTTGGATCCATTGAATGAGACCGGGGGATTTTTCTCGCCCTTGGAAAATCCCAGATCACCCAAAATATATTTGGCCATGGGGAGGTTTTTTTTTTTAAACTAGTCCGACAAAAAGGGGCCCACCATGTTCCCATATTGGGGGGACCCAGGCTCTGTTGAAGAACGCGTGCTTCTCAAAAGGGACCAGACTCAAGTTAGCTTCTTGTTGGCCTTTTACACCAACAGGACCTGTTGAACGGGCTCGATCGCAGATGGGTTCCGAAATCGCACGAATTCACATGAGAATGTTCTGTTGTGAGCCAAGGACTTGGTTTCTTCGTGGACATTTGGGGGGTATGTCCACCAAACATATTCAGGGTTTTCCCCAATTCGCTTTATCTCAAAGTGGTGGATTGGTGATTTCGGGAGTTGAGCCCCAGTTCCTCTCGAAACGAAATGAGCCTCCCACCCGAAGCTGATGAAGGCGGGGATCCTGGTTTGGACCACTTTCCTCTGGTTACAAGGGTCATATCTTTGGTGGGGTCCATGTCAGACAGGAGCTGAAGCCCCAAGTGAAGAATGGCTGAGTCAAGCCAGCCCCAATTACCCTCTCCCAAAGCCCTCCTGCCTGCATCTGCAGGTAGGTGAACACTCTGCAGCCATCCTGCCAACGGGCTAAGGACCCTTGTGGAGGCTGATTTTGGAAGAGGAAAGCCATCCTCTTGAAAAGGCCCCTTGTCCACTGTCACGATAAAAAGGGTATGTGAAGCTGCTGTTAAAGCATCAATTCAATGAGGCGTTTCCATTTATTTCGCGGTCGGCAACATTTGCAACCTGCCAGGGATCCTTTCATCCTGAGCGGGAAGTTTTCCTGGACATTTCGACAAGGAGGAGGACGTTACTTCTAAGGGTGGGGAGTCGAAATCTTTGGCCTGCCTTGTTTCAAGGGGGCTTCGGGCAAGTTGTTCTGGGCTCACCATTTGGAGACAAACCCCTTGGGATATAAATTGGAAATCAGGGAACCTTCTGGTGGACATCACTTACACGCAAATTGATGCCCGCCAAACATGTGGAGAGTATGCCCAATTGAACAAAGATGCCACATCCAACAGAGCTGACATCTTGACAAACCATCAGCTGGGTCTAACGAAATCGCCTCATTTTGGGGTCACAAACCCGAGTGAGACCGGCGCCGAGCAGATTTGTGTTCAGAGCCCGAAACAAAAACAAGACCCCACGATGTCAGAAGGTTGCCACGCAAAATCTACCCTAAGTGTCCACCATAGTAACGTGCAGCCAGTCCCTTCCCTCCCTGCCCCTCACCCTTCACACATCATGCCCCTCGCATACTCCAACAATCACCAACTGAACCTTGTTTTAAAAAGTATGTGTTGAAACAACCTCCTTGGGATTCCTTGGGTGAGCCTTTATTTGCCCAACCCCGGGTCAGATTCTCCTTCATAATTAGTCTACCCCAAATGCAGAACATCTTGCAGGACCCTAGTTTATTGCCCAGCCCGGGTCGCTTCCTCATTGCTGCGGACCACGTGCCCTAAGATCGCCCCGCGCAGACGGAAGCGCTGCAGCCTTCCAGCGGAAAAGAAAAAATGAAGAAAAAAGCCCGAAGCATTGCCACCCCTGGCAAACTCCCCAAAAGCGGGAGGTGGTTTCTGGTGTTTCCCTCACAGACAATGTTCTCCCAATCCAGACAATTTGGGCCCCGAAGTTTTAGCAAAGGGAAACTGCAGCTGCCAGTCCAACAGCAACCAAGCAAAAGGAAAGTCAATCTCCGAGATGGCTTGTAGATGGAGTATATGACCTGCGTACAGGTGGCTAGTGGTTGTGCGGTTCACGTTCCTTTGGGCCCACTGTTGGGCCCGAAAGGGGCCCCAAGTTTACGCAGACCAGTCAAACTCCCCCCCTGCCCGGCCGGCCACCGTGCATTTCAAGCCAAGAGGCGCGCCGACCCAGCTGAACATGTCGTCCCAACCACCGCTATCGCCACTCTCCTGGGGAATGTCAAGCTCCACCTCAGTGCACTCCAACACTCTGGGGGAAAAGTCCACAATTCCCTCATTTGAAATGGGGACACCCTACAAACTGCAAAGTTCCTGTTCTGGCTTTTTGCAAAGAACACATGGATCCAAGGGATGCCGAGTTTGAGGAAAGCAAGATCCCACAGCGATAGAGCTCAAGATGGTCAACGGATAACTCATTTTAGGATGTATGAGCATCATGTTTAAGATGTCACTCAAGATGCATCGAAGCAGCATTGTGCAATGCATAACAAGAGAACCGGTTCAAAAAGCACGCGCACACACACACACACACACACCGAAAAAGAGACCCCTAGGCCCGTAGGCACCCGAAAACAAACACCTTAACTTGCCTGTGGTTCAGGCAACAGCAAACAGCAAGAAATGGTCGATAAGGAAGGTCACAGGAGTGCCAATAGTATGTATCGAGGCTGTGGCTCTCGTTTTTGCGGAGGGTAGCCACAAAATGCAAAAGCAATTCTGATCTGGTTTGTTTCTTCACCAAAATCGAATTAGCACACGCGGGGGAGGGGGGGGGACGAACCCACGATTGCTCGACCCATTCGGAGTTCGGCGGGCCAAGGCGCGTCGCGGCAGAGCCAGGCGGCAAAGGCAGTTTGGCAGGGCGCGACCTTGCGGCGGCGGTGGATGACGTCGCACTGCGGCAGCAGCCCAAACCTGAGCTAAAAAGGTCAGGGCTGGGTTCAACCAGATGATAGGGGAACATGAGGAGCTACAGTAGGGAGGTTCGTCCTATAACCATGGCTGAATGTGGCTTTGAAGCACCCTGCTTGATGACCCCTGATTTACTCGTCTTCCAATTCACGTCAAGTCCCGCCAGCACATGCATATACTTACCAGTTGCGCCATTTGCCTTCAAAACAAGCAGAAGAAAAAGAAACCGTTCCCAGTTCTTGGAAACCATTTGAGGCCAATTCCTCCCGACCCAAAAGGCAAGGCTGGCAAGGTGCTTGGACACGGTGCGCACGTGGAAGACGCCCTCCTCTGCCTCGCTGAGACGGTTGTGGGCGCTCGCTCCAGCCGCTTCTGTTGTCTGAGAACAAACCTTGTACGAGATTCAAAGTCAAAGGAAACAACCCCAGTTTCTCACTTTCACCCGGAACAGCCATAAGGGGCTGAATA